GAAAGACCATTTTGCTACACTAAAACGGACAAGGATTTTCTCGAAGGTTAATTTACATGTTTGAAGATTCTGTAAATGGTTTCGCGCATGCTTCGTGCCGTTTGCACGTTCGTTTTCCACGGATGGATTGAGAGGTCAATTAAATCGACTTTTAATGGCTTGCTTTTCGTCTGTTGTCGAGATCACTTCTTGAGTATATACTAAAACAATTATTCTTTTCAATCTCGGTGAATAGCGGCAGAATAAATAATCTACCACTATCCACCTCGATTTCAAAAAAATAATGTTAAATAACGATTTTTATTTCTATTGAAGCTAACAGAGGAGAATTCAGTGAAGATTACTGATATTGCCGGTTTCAAAGAAGGTGGTGCTTTGGAGGGAACCCTTGTTTACATCGCGCCGGAAGTGTTTCGTTCGAAGCTGTGTGACAGCAAAGTAGACATGTACAGCTTTGGTGTGATACTGTGGGAGATTTGGTATGGGCAGCGCGCCTTCGCTGAAGTTAAGGTAGAAACGCTCATAACTTTCGTAGATGCTGGAAATCGTCCTAAACATCTGGAAGACTGCGAGAAGCCCCCGCAGCGCTGGAAAGAATTGATGGAGAAATGCTGGAATGGAAACGCTGATGAACGTCCTTCAGCTGAGGAATGTAACCAACAGACAATTGAACTGTATGAAGAGGTTGTAGAGTCAGGGGAACATTTCAGTGTCGAATGGACTAGTTCCTAGGAAAGGCTAATAGTTTAATTCCCCACATCAAGACAATCATTTTTTCTTATATTTGCTATAGCTGGAGTACTTCCAGGTATTTACTCTTAAAGGCAAAGGCGAGACCCTGCCAATCTATTGCTAAAGAACGAAATTGAATATTATAGAGGAATTTTATGATAGAAATTCTTGATGGAAAAAGGCGGTAAATATTTAATTGTGTGTACTTAGAATTAATTTAGCTCAAAGAGAATAAGTTTCATTAAGTTTCGTAGTTGATGTTATTTCAATCTGGATGGTTATCCCGATTTAGGCTTAGTGTTCTGGCCAGGTGATTTACTAAAATATATTTTACCTGACCATTTTTCTGGAACAATTTATTGCTATTGCTAGTATTTTCTGTTCTTAATTTAGAGTTATACTTTAATTTCTACGAAGTAAAACCACAGCAGACCTCATTGCTTAAGTGGAGATCACATATGTCCAACATCTCCTTTCACCTGATTCTTCTTGGTAAATGGAAGTACACTTTAACTAAAAAAAGGTGCTTAGTAAGAAAAAATAAAGTAAAGTAGCTATCAATATAAGTTTTGCAAGTACCATTATGCAGCTGGAGGCGGCGTGGCCTAGTGGTTAGGGCGCTAGATTTATATTCCGGAGGTTCCGGGTTCTGGAAGCCCTTACGTAAAAATAGATTTCGTAGTACTGTCAATTTAATGCTTGAGTGACATTGTCTACCAGGTCAACATAAAAGAGCGAGAGCAGGATTTTAGGTTCGGAATTGTAAGAGATAGCGTTGTTGTAAAGCGAATAAAAAGAGACGGATTAAGGAAGACCGGTAGTCGTCCATTTCTAGAGAGGTCGTCCCGACCCGCCCATCATAAAAGAAAGAGCTTCATATTGTTTTCTAGATCGAATCCTGTAAACAGTCCTTGGACGGTGCTGTCACCTGAAAAGTAGGAGGTGTTCCAAATAATGAATTGCTGTTTTCTTTTGTCATCGAAATGATTTGATTCAGCCGCCCAGAGCCTAAAAAAAGTAAGAGAGGGTAACAAATTTCCGCATTTTATATTCCACCCAAACAACAGGATGGTGATTCCGTCTACGTTCGCAGTATTGAAGGAGAGCGGCCAGTCACTCCTTTGGGACCTGAATCTGTTGTAGGAAAACGTTCATTTAGTTGCAGTTAGAGGTTTTTAACCGTTTACCAAAAATTAGAAAATTATGGCTGAAAATCGACGGGATCGTAACCGTGTGCAGATGACTGTGTACCGATATACACTTTTAATTAATTGCTGGTCTCGAGGAAAAAATTTTCATCTGTTTTGTGATACCTTAGAATCTCGATATTTCTCGTGTAGTTTACATTTACATGGCTTAGAGAAAGGTAATGTAAAGTAAAAAGGCAAGAAAAATTACCCCCAAATCAAACTAACATACTCTGGTTAGTGGAGAACGAGCGAAATTTGCTTAATTGTCTCCCGCTCGGTGACATTTATACGCAGCCATTGCCACCTGAGAGGAGGCGCGGTGGCCTCACGGTTAGTGCGCTCACCTCCAGATCGAGCGGTCCGGGTTCGAGCCCTGGCCAGGGACATTTTGTTGCGTTTTTGGGCCAGACACTTTATTCTCACAGTGCCTCTCTTCACCCAGGTGTATAAATGGGTACCGGCGAAGTTGATGCTGGTACACTGTAAGTAACCCTGCGATGAACTAGCATCCCATCTAGAGGGAGGGATGAGAACTGATACAAAACCGGAGATAAGTACCGGCGTAATGAGTCACTTGG